GTCAATTGACCACTAAAACATAAATGGATTAATATTTAAGTTAAAGAAGTATATCTTCCTTAACAGCTCCCCGGGGCCACTTCATAAGTCGCTGAGATTCGAATCCTGATTACACGACATTTGAATTTGGGCAAAAAGAGGAAAAATCGAACGGTTGTAGGTTGGGATGGAAAATTGGTGTCCGAGAGGATCCAAGTCACGATAGCTCAAATGGTAGAACAGCGGGGTATGTAGCGGAAGGTCGTGGGTTCGAATCCCGCTCGTAACACTTTTTTATATCAACCAAGACCTTACATAAAAAGAATAATTAATTGTATTAAATAAATACCTTTAATCGGCATTTGCTTGCTAATTGTACTTACAAGGATATAACTAGTAGATAAATAAGAATTAAGGTCATTTTATTTATTCGATATGAATTAGTATGTTTATAAAAAAAAATATTTGGGTATCTTGTGAAATTTTGGTTTACAAACACTTTTGTATTACTGCGGTAAGCGGAGGGAAAATGAATGGTACCATTTCTTAATGCACATAAATTTGCACTCCACTTTTTGGGAAATTCTTTTACTAATAACAATATTTTTCGTTTATTTCCTTTCTATTTTTATCAAGAAGCTTCCAACAAAAAATTAATAATTTTCTTAACATTTTGTATAAAAGGTTCAAAAGTGATTGTAAAGTGTTTAAAATAGAAAAAACACTAAAGTAATTAAAGTGAAAAATTTTGAGATATTAGAGTGAAACGTGTCTAAAAGAAAAGTTGTAAATGTTATTTTAAAATTGTAAAAATATTTTAAAATTGTTCTTTCCAAGTGAAAATAATACTCAAACGTTTTGCTTTCACTCACTAGATAAATTAATCTCGTTGATTATCACATTAAATTTCAATTTAAGAAAAAATACCATTAACCAAAAATAGAAATAAATCTAAATTGTTTGAAATAAAATAAAATAATATTTTACAGCTAGCAATCGGCTAAAATTAGACAAACAAATGAACAGAAATGGACTAGAAATGAATATACTGAAAAACATTCCTGCATTATCATTAAGACAATAATAAGAAGGAAGTTTGTTACAAAAAAAATCTATATAACAAGAAAATTGAAATTTTAAATATCAGTTTACTGGACAATTTAAAAAATCTGCTCGACAATATTGTTTTGTTATATTTGATACTTCAAAGATCTTGTTTTCTTTAACTCCCTCACTGCCAACACACATTCACAGTTTTGTTACCGCATTGGGAACCATCCCTATTTATCCATCAACAAAACCGCAAATTGGATCGGACGAAAGTGAAGAAAAAAATTAAACTTATGCAAGCGACATAAATGAGAAAATTACGAAAAATAATTACAACCAGTAAACAAAAAATACAATCCAAACAAAATATTAATCAAATTTAATAAATTTTTGATCAAATTGCCAAAAGCTAACTCAATCGATGCAAGTAAGTTAAGCATTAAATTCATTATGTTGTCACTATAATTCTGGTATTCTAGTATTTCGATTTTCAATCCATCTTGTCCTATTCAGTAACTAGATCATAACGCACAGGCGGAATCATCAATTAATTTGGTATAATTCTATCATGTGTTTATCAACATTCAAAACGGGGTAAAATGTTAAACGAAATTATCTAAGAACAAAGAAGAAATCACAAAGGATGAACATTCCTAAAAGAAAAAATGAAATAACGAACGAAGAAAAAAATTGGACGAAATAGCCGCAACAAAAACAAAAACTTCGAAATATTTTTGAGAACAAATGTAAAATAAACAAACCAAATATATGGCAAACAGATAAGCAGTAAATTCATAATTTCGTCTTAAGAAGGATGAAATTTGGTGTTTCGATTATGGATCAATCATTCTATAACTTTATTTTTTTCAAACATTTGAAGTAGTATTTTTCGATTCTGGAACAATCTTCTTTTTATACCTCCCACCACTCCCTCACTCAATAATATTTTTCCATTTGTCGGAGCTCGTTGATGTGTTCGTCCTTTATAATTACGACGTAAATTTTTAAAAGAAAATTGTTAAAGAAAAACGAAAAAAAGAAAAAAATCTGCATTCAAATTTAAATCTTCCGTCTAATTTTGCGTGGAATGACAAAAGGTAATGTCTACTTGTACGAATCAGTTAGTCAGGACATTTATTTTTTTCAAAAATTTTGAAGAAGTATTTTTCGATTCTGGAACAATCTTCTTTTTATACCACCCACCTCTCCCTCACTAAATAATATTTTTCCATTTCTCGCACCTCCGTGGATATGTTCGTCCTTGATAATTCCGACGTAAATTATTAGAAAAAAATTATCTAAGAAAAACGCGAAAATGAAAAAAATCTGCTTGCCAATTTAAATCTACCGTCTAATTTTGCGGGGAATGAGAAAAGTTCATGTCAAATTGAACGAATCATTTAGTCAGGGCTTTTATTTTTTCAAAAATTTTGAAGTAGTATTTTAGATTCTGGAACAATCTTCTTTTTATACTTCCCACCTTTCCCTCACTCAATAATATATTTCCATTTCCCCCACTTCCTTGGATGTGTTCGTCCATGATAATTCCGGCGTAAATTATTAGAAGAAAATTTATCTAAGAAAAACGGGAAAATGAAAAAATCTGCTTGCCAATTTAAATCTACCGTCTAATTTTGCGGGGAATGAGAAAAGTTGATGTCAAGTTGAACGAATCAGTTAGTCAGGGCATGTATTTTTTGTCAAAAATTTTGATGTAGTATTTTTGGATTCTGTAACAATCTTCTTTCTATACCTCCCACCTCTCCCTCACTCAATAATACATTTCCATTTCTCGCAGCTCCTTGATGTGTTCGTCCTTGATAATTCCGACGTAAATTATTAGAAGAAAATTATCTAAGAAAAACGAAAAAATGAAAAAAATCTGCTTGCCAATTTAAATCTACCGTCTAATTTTGCGGGGAATGAGAAAAGGTGATGTCAAATTGAACGAATCAGTTAGTCAGGGCGGTTATGTTTTGTCAAAAATTTTGAAGTAGTATTTTTCGATTCTGAAACAAACTTCTTTTTATACCTCCCACCTCTCCCTTACTCAATAATATATTTCCATTTCTCGCAGCTCCTTGATTTGTTCGTCCTTGATAATTCCGACGTAAATTATTATAAGAAAATTATCTAAGATAAACGCGAAAATGAAAAAAATCTGCTTGCCAATTTAAATCTACCATCTAATTTTGCGTGGAAAGAGAAAAGTTGATGTCAAATTGAACGAATCTGTTAGTCAGGGCATGTATTTTTTGTCAATAATTTTGAAGTAGTATTTTTGGATTCTGAAACAATCTATTTTCTATACCTCCCACCTTTCCCTCACTGAATAATACATTTCCATTTCTCGCAGCTCCTTGATGTGTTCGTCCTTGATAATTCCGAAGTAAATTATTAGAAGAAAATGATCTAAGAAAAACGCGAAAATGAAAAAAATCTGCTTGCCAATTTAAATCTACCTTCTAATTTTGCGGAGAAAGAGAAAAGTTCATGTCAATTTGAACGAATCAGTTAGTCTGGGCATTTATTTTTTTTTTCAAAAATTTTGAAGTTTTATTTTTCGATTCTGAAACAAACTTTTTTTTGTTCCTCCCACCTCTCCTTCATTCAAAAATATTTTTACAATTCTCCTTGATCCTTGATGTGCTCGTCCTTGATGATTCCGACGTAAATTATTAGAAGAAAATTATCTAAGAAAAACGCGAAAATGAAAAAAATCTGCTTGCCAATTTAAATCTCAAATTGAACGAATCAGTTAGTCAAGGCATTTATTTTTTGTCAAAAATTTGGATGTAGTATTTTTGGATTCTATAACAATCTTCTAAACAATCTATTTTCTATACCATACTTTCTATACCTCCCACCTCTCCCTCACACCTCCCTCTCCCTCACAATAATACATTTCCATTTCCTTGATGTGTTCAATACATTTTCCATTTCTCGCAGGTCCTTGATGTGTTCGTCCTTCATATTTCCGACGTAAATTATTAGAAGGAAAATTATCTAGAAAAACGCAAAATGAAAAAAGATAAGTTGATGTCAAGTTAAACGAATCAGTTACTCAGGCAATCGCTTGCCAATTTAAATCTACCGTCTAATTTTGCGGGGAATGAGAAAAGGTGATGTCAAGTTGAACGAATCAGTTAGTCAGGGCATGTATTTTTTGTCAAAAATTTTGAAGCAGTATTTTTCGTTTCTGAAACAAACTTGTTTTATACCTCGCTGCTCACTTTCAAGCAATAATATTTTTCCATTTATTGCGGCTGCGTGATATTTTTGTTCCGGATAAGAAGTACGTAAATATTTAGAAGAAGATTTTCTACGAAAACCAGAAAATTACAAAATCTGCATGCAAATTTAAATCTTCACTCTAATTTTGCGGGGAATAAGAAAAAGTCATGTCAATTTGAACGAATCCGTCAGTCAGGACATTATATTTTCCTTGTGAATAATTTTGCATTTATATATTTCAATTCCATAACCATCCATTTCTAGCAACAGTTTGATGTTTTTATCTGCTATCATAACTTCGTAATGTCTTTGAATTACTTTTATATGAAAATTTTTTGTATTCCAAATAAAATATAATATTAAATAATATTATTTTCGAAATATTCCGAATTATTTACATTTATTCTGTTAATAACCAATTTTATAAAACTCTACATCCATATTTATGTTTTCGTTTGGCAGGAAATATGAAGTTGTATTGCTCCGTTTGAAACCTGAACCCATTAAAAAAATCTTTCCCCGTTTCATTTTCTTTTAATGTGAATAACACGTGGAATTAGGTACTTGCACTACGTATGTCGGTATTGATTGAATGTCTTACAGGTGTCTGTTTACGCCAAGATACGTGTATCTTGTGTACGGGGCGAATGCCGATGACAAAACGTTTTGGGCCAAATATCAAGGTCAGATTGACTTTTCCCAATGTTTTAATAACCTGAAACTATTTTTTGACGCAGGTTCCATTAGCAATTTGGACGATGCAGAGCTGACCTGCAACAAGACTCAAGTTCGAAAAGTTATATCCGGAGTCGTCGGGGCCGCTTCGAGCGTGACGTCCGTCCAAGTCGCTAACCTCCTTCGATTGTTTAAAATACCCCAAGTAAGTTGTAAGCTTTTATTACTTTAATCGTCGGCTAGTGTCCCTTATGAAGAAAACATTGGATTCTCGTCTCTTGGGTAAAGTGTTATCTCGAAGTCTGGTCGGTACCATCTAACAAGGACATTAGATTGAGTCTATTTAGGGAATTAAGTCAAATCCCCCATGTGCCCTTAGCCCTCGTTTTCATAACACTTAACATAATAAATACGATGGTAATTGTCTGCTTGGTCTGCAGAATCTTATCTCATGAAACGCTTCATTCTGTTATATGGTTTGTTGTTATCCTACCATATCTTGATAGTATGTCGGAAATCCTGACCTTAAACCCTCAAAGAAGGATTATTGACTGTTAATATAATGTGCTTGAACGGAGCCTAGCTTAAAACTTGACAATATATTTTTTTTTATTCTTCTCGTACCGTAAGAATTAGCATTATTAACATAAAGTATGATTATTGAAACGTGTGCAAAAGTAAAAGTCAAATTATAGTAATACTAATAACAAAAAAACAGCGATCAAGTTGAAAAAATTGTTAGGTTGTAAACTGGAAGGAACAACTCTACTAAAATTTAATTCCAATCAGTTAGCCTTTTTTCCTTAAGATCACAAAAGAGCGGCCTTATAAAGGCAAATAAAGGATTCATTTAAAACAGAAATTACAATGTGGATAAGAGCTGCGAGAACAGACGGATCCAACTGAGATCGATAATTATCAAACTCCATTCAAACTTGTATTAGGGGTAGTCCAGCCTGGTGAGAAGAGCCCTGAATGAAATCTACATCAAGGATTAAATTTTTAAATTGTGAAAACAGTGTTAAATTTCAACATCCACCGCTTCTATCTTTAGTGTTGAAGTTGTTACAATTTTTATCGCGACAAATTTTATTGTCGTGATTAAACTTGAGGCGTTACACGCCGGGAGAAAAGTCGCGTCGTAAATTTCAAAACTTGTAGGCATTGCGGCAAAATTGCTTAGATAATTCATAATAATCCGCTGTGCCGTTAACTATGGCCGTTTCAATGCTCGGAAAGACCCGTCCATTTTTTTTTATCTACAAGTTAAACGTGTTCACCAATTTTTTTGTTTTGTTTTTTAGCTTAACACATCTATTTGTAAAATGTAAAACAAAAAGTAATAACTAATAAAATAAATTCACTAATTTCGTGGTCCGCTTGACCAATTAATATATTACAATTAATTAAGGTTTTTAATTGAGATAAAAAAGTCAGTGTCATGAGCGGGATTCGAACCCACAAACTTCGGCTTGATCGTCGCTGCTCTACCACTTGAGCTATCGTGACCTCGATCCACTCGGACACTAACTTCCCATCTCAACCCTACCTTTTGAATTTTCCCTCCTTTTTGCCATTTTTCACTCCATTTAAACGTTGGGTTTATATTTTCCGTTTATCCAAGGACCGTTGTTTAGAAAGAATTGGATTTCATGTTCTGGTTTACAAAGATAATACCAATCATAACATGAATTTCTCTTTCCTGAAAAAAATAACATCAATGCTTGAATTCGTCTTGCCTTCTTGCCTGGACCTATCAATCCAGCTAAATCTATCTTTGAATGAACTGATAAATTGTTTATTAATTATATTCTACGTTCAAAATCAGAACCAAAAAGTCCTAACTAACAATAGTTCCGGAGTTATACCCCTTTTCCTGATTTTTTAAGATTTGACAGCCTAGCTTCAAATAAACAATGATAACTCCACAACTCCTAGCACAAATCCAGTGATACCTTTGAAACCTGCGTTAAATTTCCAGAAAGTCTGATCAATACTAAACTTGTAAACGTTGGTAAAATAAGCGTTTTAGTAGCCAAAACTTGTAAAAAAGTTTCAAAGTAAAAAAACTTAATTTACTGGTTATAATTTCCAAACTAAGAGACCAGCAAATTTCGGAACATGTACTCTATTTAATAGTGATTTTAGTGGTGTAATTCCTTTTGTAAGTACTTATTTTAAAGATTAAGAAATTGATGGAGAGAAGGACACGATGCCTAGAAAATCCAAGATGAGAAATATCTGCATTTTTAATTTTCCTAATTTTATTCTAGTTGATGTTGATCGACCTCCGTAGTTTAAATTGATGTATTGGATCTTCCTGAGGTCATTTTAATTTTTTTCATTTTTTAAATTTCATTTTTAAATTCAATTTATTTTTTAAAATGACTTCAAGAAGATCCAATACATCAATTACCTAATTCTAGCCTCAATCCTATTGATAAACGGTTTTAACATTAAAGTGTAATAAACAATTTTTTACTGAAATAAATTAATTGCTTAAGTATTTTTTGGAATTAATCTATTATTCTTTGTTTACATTATTTTTGTCTGTTAGCTGTCCGAGAATTATTTATTTAATGAAAAAATTAAAAATAAACTTTTAACGTTGTCAGATTATATACCTTTTTAAAAATTTACCGTAATGGGTTAGGGCCGGGAGAATGTTCATGTTGGCTGTTATTAGATTTACCAATATGGAAGGTATTTTGCTTTTAAGTCTACCTCTTTAGAAAATATTATTTGAACCTCAGTACCTAAGCACGTTTCTTAACTCAATTTGCAAAAAAAAATAAACGTGAAATATTTGGAGTGAAAAGCGAGTTTTGTTCTGTAATATTAATTACTTGTGGTTTTTTTATATAACACATTTATAGAAATGAATGTTAGGGAAAACACGATTTGCAGCCTGAATACTCTGTTTGTCGCAAAGAAAGACCAGAAGAGACAGAGAGGAAAAGAGACAGAGAGAGAGAGAGAGAGTGAATGAATGAGAAAATGTATAAGGGCTGAGGAAATTCAAAACTGGATGAAAGTGAAAGACGGTTCCTCTTAATAGGAATAATTTTAGGTAGGTAAACCAGGCGTTTCGGCAATGTGCTTTTGTTCCTTGAGGCTTCTGTCTTTTATATATAATGAAAACTACTTTCTACTGCAATAATTAAAATTTGACATTTTTCTATAATATTATCCGACAATGATATGACCATGAATCTCTTTCTCTTACGACCCAAAAAAAATTTATAATTTTGATAATTTGCTTATATTTTATTTTAAAACATATAATAATGAGTAAATTGAAGGTTGATTAGCTAACATGCCAGATAATAAAGTAACGAGCAATTCTCACAAAAACTCGTGTTGCCGGATTCCGGGCTTTTAAATTCTAAACTTTTCACTGAATCTATTACATTGTTCACTCTGAAACTGAACTTGTACAAAGATCTGCCGAATAGTCATCTACAGCTCTAGAGCTGAACTTACGATACGTACTTTATCATTCAAGAGTTCAGCAGTTGGCCCCAATGAAGTCACTATACACAATTCCTGATGAAATGAATAGAAAAACAATCTAAGCAACAAAAATAACAATGTAACACCAAAAGCTATATCAAAGAAAGTCCATAAAAGCCATGTAAAAATGAGAAACCAAAGTTTAATCGTCGTTGAGGTTGATTTAATGGTAACAATGAAGGCTCAGATAATGCCTTTTTTTCTAGCCGTGAATCGTCTATTTAAAATTTACAAACTTGTCATATCACTATTTCAAAACCAACAACTACTAGCGAACCAATGAAGATATAATAACTAAAAATTTAAACAAATCAGACCAACTCCAAAACCAAATGCGCGTTTGAGAAAATGAATTCGTCTAGTCGTGACATCGAGTATTTCAGTGAACCGAGGACAACAGCGAAGATCAAAAAATAACTATTCTAGAGCCCAAAATAACAACAGTTGAGAAATATTAATTAAAAATTAAGAACTGAGTCAAATCAGATTACAGAACAATATTTTCGTCTGGGAAAAAGAAAAAAAAAGTATCTGCACGCTGGTGACAAAGTCAAAATGCATTAGGTAGTTTAGCAATTGCCAGGAACTTTACGAAAAAAATATTATAAAATATATTTAAAACATTATTATCTCTGAAAAATTAAAAAGAAGAAAAAGTAAACCTCTCAATTGAATTATAAATTAAATTCAAGCCGAATGTCAGAATAAAGCGAATCGACTAAACCCGCAACACCTCTATGTTTTGCACAAGTGTTGGTCTTGTCCGCCGTGCCTAAAAACCGGCAGACGTTAAAATTGTAATTGTTACTGTACTAAATTGTATGTATTGTGTAAAATGTGACTTTGGGATGAAATTTGAGCCTAATTTTTACTTTGATAAATTAGAAAGAAAAAAGAACTTTTGAAACATAAATTTTGGTTCACCAATTCAGCATTTGCATCTTTTCATAAAACTTGCAGAAACGTTAGTCTATTAAATCCTATACAATGTATTTCCATTGTATGAATAAAAATAAAACTAATATTGCCTTTTATTATTTTTTCACAAATTTTTTTCAACAAATTTTTAATTATTTATGTTTATTATTTGATTTAAGCTTTAGATGTTTTTAGATGTTTTATTTTAGTGCTAAAATATTAAGGTTGAATTTATTTTTAACTTAAAATAAAGTTATAAATCATGAAAAAACGCAACAGAAAAGACTCTAGAAATATTAATTAAAGATTAAGAACTGAGTCAAATCCGATAAACACCACAATATTTTCGTCTGGGAAAAAGAAAAAAAGTATTTGTACGAGACTTGCGTTGGTGATAAAGTCGCAAAACATTGGGTAGTTTAGCAATTGCCAGAAACTTTACTAAAAAAATATGATAAAATATATTTAAAACATTATTATCTCTGAAAGATTAAAAAGAATAAAACAGTAAAACTCTCAATTGAATTATAAATTAAATTCAAGCCGAATGTCAGAATAAAGTGAATCGACAAAACCCGCAACACCTCTAGGTTTTCCACAACTGTTGGTCTTTTTAGCCGTGTCATAATGAATTAAAATAACACTGATATTGTTTTTTATTATTTTTCAACAAATTTTTAATTATTTATGTTTATTATTTGACTTAAAATTTAGATGTTTTGTTTTAGTGCTAAAATATTTAGTTTGAGTTTATTTTTAATTTAAAGTAGTTATAAATCATGACCCAATAGAAAAGACTCTAGAAATATTAATTAAAAATTAAGAACTGAGTCAAATCAGATGACAACACAATATTTTCGTTTGGGAAAAAGGAAAAAGTATGTGGAGGAGACTTGCGCTGATGACAAAGTCGCAATACATTGAGTAATTCAGCAATTACCGGGAACTTTAAAAAAAATGAATTTTGTACATAACCAATTTTTTTTTTAAATGGGTTTTGAAAATAAATTAATGAAATATGAAAGAGCTTAACAAACTAATAGTAAACGTTTTCGAAAAACAAATCGTCACTTTAATTTAAATTAAGTAAAACAGTATATAACGTTAAATGCAATGAAATTATTCATGATGATGATTTCGTTCCTACGAGGGGGGGTCTCAAGTCGTCGAATGTACTGTGTACTATGCTGCAAGTGCCTTTAATCAGCAATTTCGTTTCTAAGGTGTTAAGAAAGAAGCAAAATGTAATTTGGAGACGGATTTTGAAATGCTTTTACCTTACTTGATAAATTTAATAAAAATATAATGAGCTTTTTTCAGCTTTTAAGTCAGTTTAAAATTCGACATAGATAACAATATGATAAAATATGTTTAAAACATTGTTATTTTTGAAAAATTAAAAAGAATAAAAAGGTAAATCTCTCGATTGAATTATAAAATAAATTTAAGCCGAATATATTATAAAAAGAATAAAGTGAATCGACTAAACCCGCAATACCTCTATGTTTTGCACAAGTGTTGGTCTTTTCCGCCGTGTCTAAAAACCGGCAGATGTTAAAATTGTAATTGTTACCGTACTAAATTGTATGTATTGTGTTAAAATGTGACTTTTGGATGAAATTTGGGCCTGATTTTTAGTTTGATAAATTAGAAAGAAAAGAATTTTTGAAACATAAATTTTGGTTCAACAGTTCAACGTTCGCTTCTTTTCATAAAACTTGCAGAAACGTTAGTTTATTAAATCTTATACAAAGGGAATGTGCACGTCTGTATAGTTAGTTTCGTTATACGGATAAAATAGAGCGACAGGAATTTTTCTTCTAAATATGGTTCGGTCGGAATTGAAATGTTCACTCCGTCAGACCATATCGGCTTTAGTACGGTTTTATGAAGCAGTTTTTTTTATTTTTCAAAACTTATTGACGTTTTAATAGTGTATGAGGAATTTACATCAAGCGTACATTCCTATGTACCGCTGGTGGGAGGATATTATTATTGAAGTAAACCGGAAAATTTTTGCGGAGAGAGAAGGTTATGTGGGTGGGTTTTCCTTTGTTCAATTTGATCCTTTTGTTTTAATTCCAAGACTCAGACTCGTATGATTAAATGGATAACATAAAGATGTTGACCAAAAACAATTTTTTTTAATTATACAAAAATTAATTATTGTAGCATAAATGTCTACATTTATTCATGGATTTTTGGGGGTGGAAAAATATCAAACTTTTTTTCCAGTTGTCATGTGGCCAAAACAAGAACTTTTAATTTTAAACTAACTTTATATTTTTTCTAATTTAAGCAATTAGTTTTCTACCACGAATTAGTAAATGTAATTGTATAAAACGTATGTTTTTATTTTTTTACAGGTATCTTACTTTTCAACGAGCCCAGAACTGAGTAACAAACAACGCTTCGAATATTTCACCAGAACGATTCCATCGGATCATCACCAGGTTCACGCGATGGTCGAGCTTGTGAAAAAGCTCGGTTGGAGCTACGTGTCCATTATTTACGAAGAGTCAAACTACGGTATTAAGGTTAAATGAAATTTACCAATTGAAAATTTGGGTAATGAAGACTACATTTGTTCTGAAATTATAAACAAATTATACGTTCTTGTCTCTGAACAAAGTTGTTTTTTAATGATTAGAGACAAATAAAGTTTACTAAGTATGCGACAGTGTTACACAACGTCATATATATTATGTATTTATGTTAACCAGGAAAAAGCATGCTGAAACGGTGCCAAGTTTTTTTTATACGGAGTTTTTCGTGCGTTTTAAGCCCAAGACCGCCTACCTTACGCTATTTTTCAACGCACGTGTAACATGATAAAAAGCCAATAAATAATTTTTCCTCTTAGTCAATTTAAATTTTTATAAATAAAACAATTCAGTACGGAAAAGCTAAAACAATTGTGAACCAAAGATTGTGCAATGAAAGATGCAATCTAATACCCTAAGTTTTTAACCTAAAAATGTATATAAGACAGCCTCTGCCAAATAAAATGAAATGTCATGTTGGAAAAATAAAAATCCTTAAATAAATATTGATTTGGTTCAAATGCTATACACATGAAAATAAAAGGAAATGTAGAATGGGGAAAAAGACAAAAGCCCAAATAATGAAAACCTTTAGGGCCCCGACAGTATCAACTTTCAATGTTTGATGCAATAGAACACTGTGCACAGGAAATATTAAAAGGTAAAAAATATACACATCCTCAGACGCAAAGCAGCACTGAACTGAAAACTGGCCATTGACCATTCAATTATCATTTCCAGAAAACTGAAAAAGAAATGTGCCACTCAGTCATAAAAAAAAGACATCGTGCAAAGAATTTAGCTCAAAAATTAACGATTAAATTCTTTTTTTAAAACATTGAACAAAAATAGTCTTAGTATACTAAAAATATGTTTTACAAAAGTTTGCTTGTAATAGTGTAAATTAATTTTTTAGAAAATACCTAAAAAATGTAACTTCATGGCCTCTTTTTAAACAAAATTAAATTACCTAGAAAGTTTGGTGAAGTACTTTAAGTATTTAACCAGAAATTACAGACTCCTTTGTAAAACAAGTAAAAGTGCCTATTCAAATTAAGTTTATTGGTAGTTGATTTTAAAAAATCGATTTCGATTTTAAAAAATCGCTTTTTCTGAAAAATGTATTTTTTTATTCATCAGAATAAATTTCTCTAAAACTTTTCATCACATTGACAAGTTTGATTTTAAAACTTATAGAACTATAATATCGTAGTGAGGAATGCTTTTAAAAATAGAATAGAAGAAATAGATAAAAAGAAATTGGAAAATTTTGTCTTGTCCCAAGTTTAGATGGTTGTCAAATATGATTAATTTTTTTAAGCTATAACAAATATTCTTAGTTTACTAAAAAAATATAACAAAATTGATTGATTGTAATAGGCAAAATAAACTGAGAAAAAGGTATCTAAAATTGACAACTTTTTGGACTCTGAACAAATAAATTGCCTAGAAAAGTTGCTGAAATTAAATCGTCTTTTAAAGTTTGATGCCAAACCGAATAGTACAGATTCTCTTAAAAATGAAATAAAAGATATATCTATTCAAATAAAATGGATTAATCAAAAGATGAATTTTAAAAAATCTATCTCGATGCGAAACCCGCTTTTCCTGACAAATTGTATTTTTCACCTTTCAGTATGATTTAAAAGTAGATTTAAAAAAAAAATAAAATAAAGACTTTAATAGCCGAAAAAGATTTTGAGAGAATAGTACCTAAAAATTGCAACTCCCTTTTTCCTCTTTTTGAACCAATAAACGTCCTTAAAAATTGCTAAAATGTAAATCTTTAAAATTTGATACTTTACCAAAAAGTACAGACTCTCTTGTAAAAGAAATGTCCAGTCAAATTAAAATCTATCAAGTAAAAGTTCAATTTTTTAAAATTGGATCACGATTTCGAAATCGCTTCTCCTAAAAAAAGTTAAATTTTTTTTTTTAATTTACTTTTCTACAAAATTTTACATCGTATTGAATCGATTTTTTCCGGCTAGAGCAATACCATGCACACAATCGTATGACGCAAAATTTTCAAAAAACTCCCGAGAAGGGAGAAATTGTTTTTCGTATAAAAAAATGGGAAAAATTCCGTCATGACGTGAGGTAGAATTGTTTGAAAAGCGTAACATAAAATTTATAGTGTAGAATTTAAAAAGATATTTTGCATTAAATAGATCAAATAAATTTTGAGGAAATGCTAAAAAATGTAAGTCCCAATTTGAAACAAAAGTTCAGACTCGGAGTAAAAACGGTCTTTAATACCTCAACCAAAAAAAGATGAATTATTTATTCAGTGACTATTTATTATTGTTTATTTTTTTATCCCGTTTTATGATTTAATGTTGACAAAATTTTGCGTTTGTATCAGATTAACGTAAAGCATAGAATTCATTGAATTAATTCAACAGACTTTTTTTAGCGTAAATTGAAGCAAAAAGACGATTCTGTCATTAAGGAGCAGAAAAATCAAAGCATGTCCTATGTGACGAAAAAGCATCAACCCGTAAATGGCACACCCTCTTCAAAAGTGAAGTTCTTTTCAGGGTTTGGAAATAAAAAAGGGTTAATTCTACAATAGATCTTTTCATTCGCCATGAAAGAAAGCGATCTTTGTTCACAAGAGAATAAAAGAACTATTTTATGATAAATTGGCAAAAATGAAAAAAAAAAACATTTTTAATTTTTGAAATATTTTTGTACATATTAATTCTAATTTGCACGTTTTTATATTAATTTTCGTCGATAGACATTAAAAAACAGATAAATTGTCTTCAACACAGTTTTCAACGTACAAAAAAGCTTTTCTTCTCGTTACATTGTTCGAAATATTTTCATAAGAGAAAAAAAACATAAAGACGTTTTGTTAAAGATGAGTTGTGATTTGAGGAGACTTTTTTCCGATTCCATGCGCGTAGGCGTTTAAACGAAATACCCCCAATGGCACAGTGGTAATTTGTCCATCCAACCTAACTTAATAGCTGCTGTTCGAATTCGGCTCCGTTAGACAATTTCATACCACGTTGAGTTTGTTCCACATTTAGCTATGGAGAGCTATTGAAAAAGCACATGTAATTTCTTTCTAACCATAATTAAACATAAATTTAATTGAAAATAACTTTCACCACGATCACAATCTATCTTGTATTTGATTAATTATACAGTCAATGAAAAGTGTCAAATGGTAAGAAGGAAATTTAAATAACATAGAATTTACAATACAATGAATGTTAATAAGAGTTTAGTTAATGTAAACATTTTGAAACCGACTAATTTATTTGAAAAACAAAGCTATTTCTTTAACCTGCCTATCTACATTTTGAACCTTTGCCCAAAAAAACCGTCAATACAATAAAAACAGAAATGTATTTTCATTGTATGAATTAAAATAACACTAATACGGTTTTTTTATAATTTTTTAAATATTAATTATGTTTATTATTTGATTTAAAATTATGTCGTTTAGTTTTAGTAATAAAATATTTAGATTCAATTTATATTTAATTTAAAATAAAGTTATAAATCATGAAAAAACGCAACAGAAAAGACTCTAGAAATATTAATTAAAAATTAAGAACTGAGTCAAATCAGATTAACAGCACAATATTTTCGTCTGGAAAAAAAAAAAAGTATCTGCTCGAGACTTGCGATGGTGACAGTCACAATACATTGGGTAGTTCAGCAATTGCCAGAAACTTTACGAGAAAAAACTAAGATAAAATATGTTTAAAGCATTATTATTTTTGAAAAATTAAAAAGAATAAAGCGGTATACATCTCAATTGAATTAAAAATTAAATTTAAGCCGAATGTCAGAATAAAGTGAATCGACTAAACCCGCAACACCTCTACGTTTTGCGTAAGTGTTGGTCTTTTCAGCCGTGTCATAAAAAATGATTTCTATTGTGTAAATTAAAATAACACTAATATAGTTTTACAAATTTTTAAATATTATTTATGTTTATTATTTGACGTAAAATTTAGATGTTTAGTTTTAGTACTAAAATATTTAATTTGAATTTATTTTAACTTAAAAATAAAGTTATAAATCATGACCTAACAGAAAAGACTCTAGAAATATCAATTAGAAATTAAGAACTGAGTTAAATCAGATTAACACCACAATATTTTTGTCTGGAAAAAAGAAAAAAAAAATCTGCTCGAGATTTGCGGTGACAAAGTCAAAATACATTGGGTAGTTCAGCAATTACCAAGAAACTTTACGAGAAAAAATATGATAAAATATGTTTAAAAAATTATTATTTCTGAAAAATTAAAAAGAATAAAAAAATAAACCTCTCAATTGAATTATAAATTAAATTCAAGCCGAATGTCAGAATAAAGCGAATCGACTAAACCCGCAACACCCGTACGTTTTGAACAAATGTTGGTCTTTTCCGCCGTGTAATAAAAATGTTTTTTTCACTGTAAGAATTAAAATAACACTAATATTGTTTTACAAATTTTTAAATATTATTTATGTTTATTATTTGACATAAAATTTAGATGTTTAGTTTTAGTACTAAAATATTTAATTTGAATTTATTTTAACTTGAAAATAAAGTTATAAATCATGAAAAATCCCAATAGAAAAGTCTTACTCTTTATCTACTATTGATAAAAAACCAATTTGTCCTAATCGAGTTGTAGCTTTAGGCTAGGCTTATTTGGTTTATAGTGTACAATTTGCCTTGAAAAGCTGAAAAGCGAATAACACAACCAGTCTGAAAATATTCGGGAGGATTTTTTTTTTAAAAGTCTAATTTGGACAATTCGGCGCAAGCGCACATGCCTCACTATTTACCATTATATGAATTAAGTGGTAAAAAATTGTTTTAAAAAATTAATAAAAAAGCACAAACGTAACAAGCATATTTTCCTAAAATAGCAATTCATTAAAAAACTTTGTTTTTTAAATGGGTATCAATAGTTTTTTATTATTGAAAATATATTTTTTAATATAGTTTTTGGTCAACTAAATTATTTTTGCACGGAATGAAATTGGTCCTGTAAAATTTTGAGATTTAAAAGCGCTTCAAATAATTTTTTGAATGTCACGAATCGAGTGTTTTCGTCTATCCTTGCATTAAGGAACTTACAACCTGCCATCTCTCACTATGAACTCTCGTTTTTTATGTATATTTTGTGTCAAAAACTACCTTTTGAACCACATCAATGCCCTAGAACAGGATTTGAAAGTTTTATGCCATAAAAAATGTTGCAACGCGAAAAATTCGAGCCCAGTAAGAAAATAGATTTTACTAAACAGTTATGTTTTTACCTCTTAGAGCAAAACTTTTTTTTAACTTCATCGAACGTGTAGTTTTCATTCTGTAGAGATCAAATCAAATAATCATCGCGCCAAAAATTAACGTTTCACCATTTTTTTTTAATTCCTAGCTACAAGCTAAATTTTGTAACAGTTTCACGCTGTTTGGAGGATATAAAAAAATAATAACCTTCTAGATTCTCTATTTAAACAAATGTAATACCTTCAAAAATTAATTAAAAATGCGAAATGTTACAATTTATTGTGTAAACAAGTACAGATTCTCATAAAGAAACGTATATAGCTAAATTGATGCTTAAAAAATTGATGATAAATAGTCGAATTTTATGCTTAATCAAAAAGTTCAGGCATTCTTCTAAATGAAATTGTATAAAACTAAAAATCCGTCAAGTACAAGTTAAGTTTCAATTCCAACTAGATCCGAAAATTGCGTTCCCTGCAAAGCTGGTTTTTTTTCCCCCAGTACACTTTTCTATAAAATTCTTTATGATATCGAATATTTCTCTCTATGTCAGTAGAGCAATAACAGGAACATAATCGTGATAAGTTATGTTTAAAAAATATATAGGAAGGGAAAATATGTTTTTCGTACAAAAAAAAGGTAAAATTTCGTCAAAACATGAGTCAGTAGCCAAAATTGAACGGTACACTATTTATTCAGAAATGCCCTAATTTGTAGCACACATAAAAAAATCATAATAATAAAGGGTGTAAAATACCAATTGCTATTCAAAAAAGGCAACTTTCTTTAAATAAATAAATAACCTCTAAACATTTAAGAAACTGATAAAATACGGTTAATGAGGTTATTTCTAAATATTAACGACTCACTAGTACAAGGTCCTCCGAATTTTTAGTTACTAAAATAAATCTAAAATAAGATTGATTATAATATATCAAATAAATTTTGAGGGAATGGCACCTAAAATATCAACTTTTCGACCTCTCATAATTGCTTTGAAAAATTTCTGAAACGTATATACAATAAAATATGATGGTTTACTAAAAAAATGTAGACTCTATTGTAAAATGAATGCGTATCCTTCAAGCAGAAATGGAAATTGAAAAAAATTGCAATAATCCGAGCTTTCCGAAAAATACTTTTCCTGATACTTTTTTCACATTTCAATAGACTTTTCTCCAACAGTATTTATCATAATGAAATATATCTGTTAAAAAACCCGCTAGCTACAAATTTATAATAAAAAAAAAACAAGATTACTTGTAATAGTCGAAATATATATTTTAAAAATTGTACCTAAAAATTGCAACATTTTGCCTCTAATGGAACAAACAAATGTCCTTGAAAAAATTGAACACATCCTACTGCAGCACAAAATCTAGAAAGTTTATTTTTTGGTGCTTAAACAAATATTAAAGACGCTCTTAACCAAAATTAACATCCATCAAAGAAAAGTGTATTTAAAAAATTACATTAAAAAAGACAATGTTCGCTACCCCCTTTTTTTTAGGTAAAATACAAAATAATTTATTTAGTTATATTTGTTCATCTGTATTAAAATTTTATAAGACATATTTTTAAATATTCTGATCAGAATGGTATTTTAGGCGTTCGAAGAACTTGAGGTGCTACTGGCCAAGTACGATATTTGCATAGCTGTCAAGGAGAAACTCGTGAAGGACTCGGGTGTGGCTGAGGATAACGTTTATGACAACATCATACTGAAATTGCAGACAAAACCGAGAGCAAAGGGTAAGCGTATTTAAAAGTTCTAACAGAAAAAATAAATATTTAGAAAATTGGCACTTTAATAAAAAAAAAATCAGGGAAAAATTTGACCGAAATGCAATTCCACCCCGAAGGATGCTGATACGTTGGAAGATAATTGGGTATGAATGTAACGTTATGTCCCATCACTCATCTCGACCCTCCAGGTAAAAAAATGCGCTGCAATTGGTCGCTTTTCTACCATAAATTGACAGTTGAATTATAAACAAGATACTGAAAATTTTAATACGAAAAACCTAATTATTCTGACTATCCTGGTTTAAAATCCCATTGTGATTTCATGTTATAATTTCCCTAGGCAGTTTCGTTTTTCCTTGTCTGAATTTCTGTCTGTATTTCATCTAATGAAACTTTCATTTTTCAATTCAGAAGTTCAGGTTTTCTGTAAACAACTGGCAGAATGGAAGACACAATCAGACAACCCATTTCATAGACCAACATGAATTTTTAAATCAGCATATAGACAGTTAATTGATCATGTTCATGAGTCTTGTTTTGAATCAGGAATTTCTTTTTTCTAATGATAATTTAAAAAAATATTTTATTACAATACATCATTTGTCGATATTACCACAATTTACATATGTGGTCGCATTGAGGGAAGAGCGAATAACCGACGTTATCCTACCACAGTTCACTTCATTAGTTAATAACTATTCCTCTACAAAGGAGGTCATGGAGCCGTTTCGCTTGGGATGCCTTATAGGATTGTAAGGATGTGATGTGTTGGACAAGGCTTCAACAAGACTATTGGGTTGATGGGAGAATTTAAATTGGAACTTGGTTAATTTTTGAAGAAATAATTTTAGTATAAACGAGATTTTAAGAATATTATGAAGACATTTACAATGATGTAAGGACCTTGGATTGAAAGGATTTGAATGAGATAGTGGACGATTTAGCAGTCCTTCCATGTTTTAACGAAACTTATTTACCTATCTCGCGGTTCTTTTTTCTGTTCCACTCTCTCACTCTCTCTCTCTCTCGCTCTCTCTCTCTCTCTCTCATTCTTTTTCTCTATCTATCATTCTTTTTTTCTATCTCATTTTCTATCCCATTCTTTTTGCCCTCACTTCTTTCTCTAATTCTCTTTCTTCTCCAGCTCTCCTTTTCCCCCTCACACTCTCTCTCTCTCTCTCCCTCTCCCATTCGGTTTCTCTCTCATTCTATTTTTCTTTCTCATTTTCTATCCCATCTTTTTGCCCTCTCTCGTTTCTCTAACTCTCTTTCTTCTCTAGCTCTCCTTCTCTCTCTCACTCTCTCTCTCTATCTATCTTTCTATTTTATCTTTCTCTCTCTCTCTCTCACTCTCTCTCTTTTTCTCTTATCATTATTTATCAATTTCTCCCATTCTCATTCTCTCTAATTCTTTCTTTCTATTTCACTTCTCTCTCTCTCTCTTTTTCTCTCACTCCCTCTCTTTCTCCTTCTCTTATCATTATTTATCAATTTTTCCCATTCTCATTTTCTCTAATTCTTTCTTTCTATTTCACTTCTCTATCTCTCTCTCTCTCTCTCACTCCCTGTCTCACTCTCTCTCTCTCTTTCTCTTTCTCTTATCATTATTTATCAATTTCTCCCATTCTCATTCTCTAATTCTTTCTTTCTATTTCACTTCTCTCTCTCTGTGTTTCACTTTCTTTCTCTCTCTCTCTCTCTCTTGCCTTCTCTCTCTCTCCTTCTCTAGCTCTCCTTCTCTCTCTCACTCTCTCTCTCTCTCTGTGTTTCACTTTCTTTCTCTCTCTCTCTCTCTCTCTCTCTCTCTCTCTCTATCTCTCTCTCTCTTTCTCTCTCTCTCTGTTTCACTGCCTCTCTATCTATCTCTCTTTTTCTTTTCTCTCTCTTATTTTCTATCCCACTTTTCCCCCCTCTCGTTTCTCTAATGCTCTTTTTTCTCTAGCTCTCCTTCTCCTCTCTCTTTCCCACTCTCTCTCGCTCTTTCTCTTTCTTTTTTCTACTGTTCTTTTATATATATGTATTGGCGTTCGCAGTATTGAGGATGAAGAGGAGTGATGGCCTTGTGGCACAAGCGATTTTATGAAAAGCTCCTATACAAAATTCTTTGAGCCCAGAAAAAGTTGCGATCTACAGGACGAAACAATTTTTAGACTGTCAAAAGCTAATCGTCTAAAAAGTTTACTTTTGGTAACATTCTTGTCCTTTTGAACGTGTTTACAACATTTCGGAAAATTTACGGAGGTCTAATATTTACTGGTTAAGACAAAAATATATACGAAATTTACAATTTTCGAGGTATGTGAGAAATATAAGAGCTGTTTTCAGATTGGGGAGGGGGGATTTAAGATGTAATTGGTTCAATGAAAAATTTAAAAAAAATTAAATAATATTTCTTAATCAATCGGGTCGAATATTTTTGTAACAAAGCGTCGACTTAATTGATTTTAGTAAATTGTTGCTGATGTAGTGCATTTAGTCAATTGGCTCTAAATAGAAACGGTCTATTATTAAATAAACAAATACAGCCTGCTGGTTAATGAATCCATTTGGCGGATGATGGTTTGTGTGATCAAATAAATTGGTTCAATTCATCGCCCTTTGTGATCTAAGGAATAATAAATTGACCTAAACTCCGTTAAACTTTACACAGTTCAAATTTATCATTAAAGTTTCTAACTTTGTTAGAAAATTCTCAACGTCATAATCGTTACGAAAACCTGAAATTATCAGTATTCATTGTTTTTTTTATAAATTTTCAGGGGTCATTATATTTGGATCGGACCAGGAAGTTGCGGAGCTGATGAGAGCGGTGAAAAGGTGCAACGCTACCGGGAGTTTTTCCTGGATCGGTTCGGACGGTTGGAGTGCCAGGGATCTCGTGTCAAACGGGAACGAGGATCAAGTCGAAGGAACTTTGTCGGTACAACCGCAGGCAAATCCGGTAAAAGGATTCGAGGATTATTTTCTCTCCTTGACTGTTGAAAACAACAAACGAAATCCTTGGTTCATAGGTAAGATAATAGTATTAAACATTTAACCTTCGCTTTTTAAAATTTCTGGATAGGTTTTTATTTTTATTTTTTATTTTGTATGCTAAGAATAATAATTTAAAAAAACATTGACTAGCCTCTTTAACTCTTATTTCAATATATTCATGATATTGTTTGCTTAAAACATTGAAAGTTAAAAGCTTTAATCTCAACATTGAAAATTTTAAGAATGAACGTAATTGAAATGAACTTTCTGCTTTGAAATTTCCTTTTAAGAAATGACCTAATCTAATCAATTATTCTCCCGGCAAACATGAACGCTCAATCTTCTTTTGCATTTGGAATCATTTTTTCTCGAAAAAAAATGACTTGATCTCGATGATTATTTTTAAAAACAACTTTAACCCCTTTTGTAATTGAGTTTACACAATAATAGTTTAAATGTAACAGATTACTGAGAAGCAAATTGAAATGCAAATGTATGTATAATTAAAACTGAAAGCATCACATAGCATTTATCTGTGAACAAATTTTCATAATAAACCAAATTTAAATTAAAAAATTCCTTTGATACTCAAAGTTAAGTGAAAGTTATACTTGAAACGTCATTCAGAAAGGGATATTACCATTTTCATAACTATATATTCAACATTAAAAACGTCGGTAAGTATTTTGAATAAATTAAGTTAAATAAGAAACAGTTTAATAAGTAACAAATATACATGGAAATTGGTGTTTTTGGTTAAATTTAGGTTAGGCTTAAGGTTAGGTTAGATTAGGTTATGTTTGGGTAAATTAGTTTTAGGTTAGGTTCATTAGAGTTAGGGTTTTATTTTAATTTTGGCATTCATGATATGGCGTATTACTTTTGCTTTATACTTTCTGACATTATTTCAAACTTGATATTTTGAAAGTACGTATTTATTAATATTATTAAAATTAATTGTTATAATTAATAATCTTATAAGTCGTTTATATTAATTTTACGTTAGATCAGAATTACATTCGGATTTTCATGTAACTATAAACTTTATATAGAAAGGGATATTAATAATTTCCTAAGTGAATACCCAATATTAAAAGCCTCCAAGCAGGTACTTTGTACACGTTAAATAAAATAAGGCAAAATTAAATAAGTAATGGTTAGGATTAAGGGTAGGTTAGTTTCAATTTAGAGACGGGTTATGTTAGTTGAGGATAAATTTAGATTAAGTAATTTTAATTTTCTCATTCACTATATTGGGTACTTGTTTTATGTGTAATATCTAAAGATCTTTGGACCTTGAGGTAAGTCCGTCAAAAATTAACACGTTTAAACTCGTTAAATTTATGAAAAAAGTTTAATAAGTAACGGTTAGGGGTAGGTTAGTTTAAATTTAGAGATGAGTTAGGTTAGGTATTTTAACTTAAGGTTATGTTAGTTGAGGGTTAGCTTAGGTTATGCAGAGGTATAATTTTTATTTTCTCATTCACTATATTGGGTACTTGTTTTATATGTATTATCTAAATATCTTTGGACCTTAAGATAAATCTTTCAAAAATTAACACGTTTAAACACGTTAAATTTATGAAAAAAGTTTAATAAGTAACGGTTAGGGATAGGTTAGTTTAAATTTAGAGATGAGTTAGGTTAGGTATTTTAACTTAAGGTTATGTTAGTTGATGGTTAGTTTAGGTTAGGTGGAGGTATAATTTTTATTTTCTCATTCACTATATTGGGTACTTGTTTTATATGTATTATCTAAATATCTTTGTGCCTTGAGGTGTGTCCGTCAAAAATTAACAAGTTTAAACACGTTAAATTAAATAAGAAAAAGTTCACTAAGTAACGGTTAGGGTTAGGGGTAGGTTAGTTTAAATTTTGAGATGGGTTAGGTTAACTTAGGAATATGTTAGTTGACAGTTTAGGTTAGGTAGAGGAATAATTTTTATTTTCTTATTCAAATTATTGAGTACTTGTTTTATATTATCTAAAGATCTTTGGACTTTGAGGTATATTCATCAAATATTGGAAATTATTGTTACTATAATTCCTAAATTATTTTATATTCATACAGGGAATTCCATCGTTTTTCAGTAAAATCCTTTTTTTTTATACAAATTTTTCATTTCTTTTATTTTCTCATTCTTTCTTTATTTTCAATTCTTCATCTGTTAAATACAAGCTATTTGTCTTTGCTTCGTTAAATTAAATAAGAAAAGTTACTAATTAACGGTAGGGTTAGGGGTAGGTTAGTTTAAATTTAGAGATGTGTTAGGTTAGATAGGTTAACTTAGGGTTATGTTAGTTGAGGGTGAGTTTAGGTTAAGTAGAGGAATAATTTTAATTTTCTTATTCAAGATATTGGATACTTGTTTTATATGTATTATCTAAATATCTTTGTGCCTTGAGGTGTGTCCGTCAAAAATTAACACGTTAAATTAAGTAAAAAAAGTTTACTAAGTAACTGCTAGGGTTAGGGGTAGGTTAGTTTAAATTTAGAGATGGGTTAGGTTAGATAGGTTAACTTAGGGTTATGTTCGTTGACAGTTAGTTTAGGTTAGGTTAGGTAGAGGAATAATTTTTATTTTCTCATTCAACATAATGGATACGTGTTTTATATATATTATCATTATGCCTTGAGGTGTGTCCGTCAAAAATTAACACGTTTAAACACGTTAAATTAAATAAGAAAAAGTTCAATAAGTAACGGTTGGGGTTTCGTTTTGTATGTGTCAAATTGTGATGCTAATATATGTGTAATAGTATAAAAAAATATTTAATACAAATTTGTACAAGTGTACAATCAAATTTATTTTTTAGTTCAAAATAAACAATCGATATATTCATAAACTTTTATCGTTTGTTTTTAATACTTTCAGTTTTAAGTTTTTGACTGGCCAAAATTTGTCTAAAATTGCAGACGATTTTGCCCTGTCCGTCTGTTAAACGTGTTTCGGCATTTCGCAATCTTCAGTATTTCTTCGTGATTCTGTAAATTGTTTTTAGTGTTAAATATGTCGTGTCTGTATATTTTAAACTTTTCTGGTGTTTCTTCCTTTTTTGACGACGTTGCAGGCTTGTCTGTATTATTGAGGATTATTTGTAATTTTCTGAGTTTTTCCGTCATTGTTCCTAAACGATCTTATATAATCTTTGTATCTACCTTTTATTTTTCGTTATTGGTTGTCAAAGTGGTAAACCAACGCACTCACGGTCAAAAAGTTTAAAATTTCCATTCTAAGCATTGTTTAATATAACAGAATATTTTAATGTTCTAAAAAGGCAATTTTTTTAAAGAAAACCACAATAATATTTATTTTATCGTTACAATTCTTGTAGTGTCGGTAAAATCAACCGTGTAACGTAGAAACAAAACAGAGAATCGTATCGACCAGTAATTGTGCATCCGTTTACAAGACAATATAATATCCTTAGCCCCTTGAAATCCCCACGACCTGTGATATACAGCTAAGCACGATAGATGATGGGATGACCGCCCTCTCAACATTGCTGCACGAGAAGCTCATATCGGGATTAAAGAGAGACAAATAGATACCGTTTTGCATGAAATATATACATTTTCAAATGAAAAAAATAAACCCCAACAGAATAAAAAAGTGTAAAAAACTAGTTTTTCGTAAAAATGTAATATGTTTCAATAGAAAACATGTCAAAAATAGAAGAAATGATGAAAATTCGATCTTTGATTTTTAACCTTTTTTGACCTTTTTATTGGTGACAACGATTTACATGAAAAAATATATGACCAAATTATTCAAATCTAATTTTTTGCTAAACGTTAAGAGGATCTACGTAAATTAAAATTAATAATATTCACTCAGTTATCAGGAATGTGGTCAAAGAAAATATTTTTAATTTAATTAAAAATGATTTATTTGACTATTTCCCTGATAACTAAGTAACCATTGTCTGCATAAGCGGGTCGATAAGTCTACGAAACAAAATTAATAATTGTCAAAATTCATACCTTAACCGTTTATTTTTAAATCAAAGAATTAGGACTAAGTTTTACGTTCATGGAATAGTCTTGGCTCAAAAAGTAGCTTTTCATAACCATCACTGTTTTTGTAGAATTTGTTTTTAGAATAGACTAAACCCGCACGACTTGTAGGTGTCGCGTAAGTGTTGATCCTGTGCGCCGTGCTATTAGGGGGGACAGATAACTTATAATTAAATTTATGAAACTTGTAGTAAGGATTAGTCATAAGGAAAATAAGTTAGGAAACTTTTTAGATCATAATTTCGAAAAAAAAGATATATTAAAGAGGAAAGGCACGTTACTAGCTTTTTTTAATAGCAAAGAATACCTAGCAGTAAGCTCAATAAAATGTAAAGGTTTTTAGTTTGAAAAAGAAAAATTACATTTTAATCTATATTTAATTGCAGTATGTAAGGCCAATATTTTTAAAAATTGAGTGTGGCGAAAAAAAAATTGTTGGGTGCAATTCACTATAAAAATAAGGAAAACTAAAACAGAGGGATTTGGGACCAAAACTAAAAGTATGGTTAAAAATTCAATCGTTATTAATTAATATAGTTTTTTTGTAAATGAATGCAACGGCTAGAAATGATTTAATTGTTGGTCGAGTTAACCGGTTTTTGTTATGTTTTTTGGTATTTTTTCTTTAAAAAAAAAAATTTTCTCTTATTAAGAATATTAAACATTTTCGCCTAGAAAGATCTCATAGAATATACAATATATGTTTACACCGAAGATTTGAAAATATTGAGTACGGCAAAAAAAAAATTGTTGGGTGCAATTCACTATAAAAAAAGGAAAACGAAAAGAGAGCGATTTGACCCAAAAACTGAAAATTTGGTTTAAAAATTCAATCGTTATTAATTTTTTTTGTAAATGAATGAAAGGGCTAGAAATGATTTATTCTTGGTCGAGTTAACCGGTTTTTGTTATGTTTTTTGGTATTTTTTCGTTAAAAAAAAAAAAACTTTTCTCTTATTAAGAATATTAAACATTTTCGCCTAGAAAGATCTCATAAAATATACAATATATGTTTACACCGAGGATTTGAAAAAATTGAGTGTAGTGAAAGAAAATTGTTGGGTGCAATTCACTATAAAAAAAAGAAAACTAAAAGAGAGCGATTTGACACGAAAACTGAAAATTTGGTTTAAAAATTCAATCGTTATTAATTATTAATATAGTTTTTTTGAAAATGAATGAAAGGGCTAGAAATGATTTAATTGTTGGTCGATTTAACCGGTTTTTGTTATGTTTTTTGGTATTTAAAAAAAAACTTTTCTCTTATTAAGAATATTAAGCATTTTCGCCTAGAAAGATCTCATAAAATATACAATATATGTTTACACCGAGGATTTGGAAAAATTGAGTGTGGTGAAAAAAACAATTGTTGGTTGCGATTCACTACAAAACAAGAAAAACTAAAAGAGAGCGATTTGGCACCAAAACTGAAAGTTTGGTTTAAAAATTCAATCTTTATTAATTAATATAGCTTTTTTTGTAAATGAATGCAACGGCTAGCAATTATTTAATTGTTGGTCGAGCTAACCGGTTTTTGTTATGTTTTTTGGTATTTTTTCTTTTTAAAAAACCTTTGTTCTTATTGAGAATATTAAACATTTTCGCCTAGAAAGATCTTATAAAACATACAATATATGTTTATACCGAGGATTTGAAAAAATACTTTACGGTTTTCTAGGTCACGGAGGAATAATTTTATTCGAATTTTTTTTTCTCACGAAAAGCATAATTTAAAATGATGACAGGTTAAATGATTAATAAATATTCAAAAAGGAATTTCATATCACTCAGCTTTAATTACACACCTGATCAGTATTAGCGGACCATCTAACACTAACTGAATTTTGTAATTTTTAATAATGTGTGGTGATTAGTGACCGTTAATCGATAATTATTCAGACTCAGACGGCACTCTCAACACGACACGCAAGAATGGCACAATTACACAGAAGACAAACACTTTGCACCCTGAAGATGATCTAAATAAAGATCGAAACGTTGGCACGATAAAGAAGATGTTTTTTTGAAACCTACATCACACCAGACCGCATCTCACGATTTCTGAATAATTATTTTTAATAATATTACATATTATTCGAAAGTGTTAAGGATTATTTAGAACATGTTTCTCTAGTCCAATTTGAAACAATCTGAAAGCTTCAATGGTTTGTTTGTTCAAAAAGTTTTTCATTCCCGACAGCCACAAATATTGTTTTCCAATATAGACTAAACCCGCACGACTTGTAGGTGACGCGTAAGTGTTGATCCTCGCGCCGTGCGGTTAGGGGGCAGACAACTTAATAATTAACAGCAACTATATTTAATTATTATTATTTACAACAATAATTATTATTAACAATAATTAAAGCCATAAATCTTGTAATAAATAATGAAGTTAAATTATTAGTTATTTTTTCACATGATTAAGCAAAAAGCAAAGAAATTAGGAAACTTCTTAGATAATGATTTGGAAAGAAAAGGACACATTAAAGAGGAAGAGCACGTTACTAGCTTCGTTTTTTAATAGCAAAGTGTACACACATAGCGGTAAGCTCATTAAATTTTTTTTTTAGTTTATAAAAAGGTTACATTAGTTGTAAATTATTCATAAATCGTGAGAAGCGGTCTGGTGTGATGTAGGTTTCAGAAAAACATTTTCTTTATCTTGCCAACGTTTCGATCTTTATTGACATCATCTTCAGGGCCTGGGATTTACAAACATTGTTTAAATTTAACAATTACATTTTGGATGTGGAAAAGTGAATTTATACAATGCAAAATATATATTTTTTTTTATATTCAATCAAAGTATTTCTACTCAGAGTGTTTGTTTTCTGCGTAAGGTGCCATTCTTGCGTGTCGTGTTGGGAGTGCCAGTGAGATATTGGTGTTTTATGTTTATAAAATTTTAGAAATACTTTAGTTAGAAATACTTTGAATATTAATTTTTTTTGCATTGTATAAATTCACTTTTTTTCACATCCTACATGCATTTGTTAAACTTAACCAATGTTTGTAAATCCCAGGCCCTGATGATGATTTCAATAAAGATCGAAACGTTGGCACGATAATGAAAATGTTTTTCTGAAACCTACATCACACCTCATCTCGCGATTTCTGAATAATTAGAGTTCTTAATTTTTAATTAATTCCCTAGTTTTCGTGATCCGCTTGACCAATTAATATCTTTCAATTAATTAAGGTTTTTAGTTGAGTTAAAAAAGTCAGTGTCACGAGTGGGATTCGAACCCACGATCGTCGGTTAGATCCGCCGCTGCTATACCACTTGAGTGTGAGTGGATCGAGATCACGATAGCTCAAGCGGTAGAGCAGCGACGTATTGAGCCGACGATCGTGGGTTCGAATCCCACTCGTGACACTGACTTTTTTATCTCAACTAAAAACCTTAATTAATTTAAAAGATCGAAACGTTGCCACGATTAAGAAAATGTTTTTCTGAAACCTACAACACACCAGCCCGCATCTCACAATCGAATAATTATCAGAAGTGTCAGAGGTTTAACCATTTTGGTTTCCACTAGTAAATACAAGCGAAGAGAGTGCTGTTTGAGCAGCGTTTAGCTTCAAACCTGAGAGCAGCGAGTAGCTAGACATGCAAGATGACCTCACTTTAAGTTTTGAAGACGGGAAGAGAGTTTTATTTTCTGACGAAATCGAAATCTCTCTAAGTCTTCCAAAAAGTCAAGTTCAGACGAGACGACGCCCCCAGTGAGTTAGTCATTCGAGGAAAGGCTTTAAATTCAAATGTAGAACAAATCCTACAATGTTTTGCTTTTTATTAGGAATAAAGACGAATTTCTATTCACCCAATAATACGAAGAACGCCGGAACGATATTTAAATGAGACCGAAAAGATTGACTGGCTAGTTCGAAGTCTGGGATCGGCTGAAAATAATAAGAAGTCATGCACGAGCTCCTCCCAACAGTACATCGGGAATGTTTTTGTTTTTTTTATTATCAACCGAATTGACTTGACAGATGTATTTATATTATTTCAAATGCTTAAGGATTTCTCCATGTGTCATTTCTAGGAGAAACGTAATCATTTTTGACTGAAAAAGTTGATTAAACATTTTCCGATATTCAAAACAACGTTGAAAAACAAACAGTTCCGCTCAATCTTTCGGAATCGACAATCGCAGTAGAGCTGAATGAATAAACCCATATATCTTCACGGTCGTCGAGCACCCAGATCCCAACTTGTGAATTATGATTTTCAAAACGGTTATTTGTTGGCTTTTTTGGCCTTTCGCCACCAGCGGCCTATACAAAGTAGACAATGCTCAAAATATATTGTTGTTTTTTTTTCTTTTTTCAGAATTTTGGGAAGATCATTTTAAATGCAAATACCCCAACAGCACCCCTACCCCTTACAACATCAGGTTCGGCAGGGAATGCACACTCAACGAGAAACTTGACAAAGAAAACGTCGTATTCGAAAAACAATTGCAGTTCGTCAGCGATGCAGTCATGGCGTTAGCTATCGCGCTGCACGATATGCACAAGGACCTGTGTGGAAATTACAAAGGGGTCTGCAGCAAAATGAACCCAACGAAAGGACCAGATCTGCTGAGATATTTACGAAAAGCAAGTTTTGAAGGTACAAAATAAAAAGATAATAGTCAACTTAATTATATTTCGTCAGAAACAAAATTGCATGCTATGAACAACGAAATATTTAATATTTTCAAATCAGTCAAAACTACGAAATATGCTAAACCCGCACGATTTGTCTGTCTTGCGTAAGTGTTGGCCATCAGCGCCGTGACTGTATTTCATTAACAGGTTGCAACATATTTCAAAAAATAAAAAATATATATATGTAATAGCCTTTTATGCACATAATTAAACTGGTTCCAAAAGATTCCAAGCTTTACAAGTGTTTTAAATAATTTTTATTAAAATTTAAGAATGAGTGTCAAACTAGCAACATCCCTTACACTATTTAAAAATTCTCATATTTTATTAATATTTTCTGTCAAAAATTAGATTTTCAATGATACTAACTCAATATTGGAAAAGGAATCGTTGTGTAAGGTTTTATGGCCATAAATTGAGAAACAATGAAAAAAAATTCGACCTCGATCAGAAATTGACTTTTCTTGAAAAGTTTTATTTTTTCACATACATTTTTTACAAAACCAATCATCATTTCGAAAAAGTCCTTTTTCCTTTTATAGAGCAATAACAGCCATATAATAGTAGCAAGTAAATTTTTAAAAAACCACCCAGGAACAGAGAAATAATTTTTTATTTTAAAAAAAAAGTGTAAAATTTTACACCTATAAATTAATGGAAAAATTAAGGATCTATTTATTTTTAATCCTAGCTACGAATTTGTAATATAACAACAGATTTGTTGTATAGATAAAATAGATTTTGAGAAAATGCTACCTTAAACATTGCAAGTTTTTGGCCTTTCTTTGAACTACAAAACGACCTTGAAAAAATTGATGAAATATGGTCAAATTTGATGTTTACAGACTCTTTTTAAAAAATAAATGCGTATCCAAATCCAACGAGAAGAAGTATACTTAAAATGAAAAACAACAACACTTGTCCAAACAACGATCGTTACCCACCTTGAATATTCAGAAGAAGAGTTATTAATTTATTCATGGGCTATTTAGTTTGATCCCATCTTTTAATGTTTATTTTTAGTTGAATTTAATGATTTAATTTTCACCTCAAATATTTCTTTTAACTAGATAAATTTGAAACATATAATTTATTAATTTCAAGTCAACAGACTATTTTATCATTAATTGAAGGCAAAAGTACATTTTCTTTAAAAAAAAAAAAAATTCAACAAGTTTTCCTGCTTTGCTAAAACATTAAAAAGTAAGTACGAACCCTGTTTTTAATATAATTGTGCTCAGCAGGGATTTTCGTTACTACAGAATAAATACCTCTCCCACAGATTAACGTCATGAACAAAAAATTAATGTTTCACATACAATCATACAATAAAAAAGGGGTTGGGATTTTTTTTTTAACAGACGCAGAATCAATCATATTTTCCCCTTTCGATGTATAACTAATGGGCTGGAAAATTCACACCAATGGAATACCTATTCATTCTTTAGCGTCAAAATACATTCCTTACTTTAGGTTCCAATCTTTAACAGGAAATTAAAAACGCTCAAGTCCAAATTTGACATATTTTAACAGCATGAATGGTTTTGATTAAAAAAACGAAAGTTTGTATATATATGTATGTAGGCTCACATAAAAATCAAAAATTGTATATAACATTTGTAAATTTTTATTTTCTGTGCATAAAAGAAAAAAATATCAAATATTTTTCTGATTTGCACTAGATTATATCAAAAAGTTTTGCACTAAGTCGACTTCCTTCAAAAAATTTATATAACCAATAGGCTCCAGTTAGTTTTTAATTTTACACTCGAAAAGTGTAAGAGGAAAACATTATTTGACCAATTTTGACAATCTCATTTAAAAGCTCAATTTTAGATTAATTTTTCAACTATCTTAGATAAATAAAAAAGTACTCACTGTACTGATGAACAGCCTCTCTTGAAGTCAAAACCTAAAATTAAAAAATTATATTAAAACAGATATTTTTACTTAAATTTAATAAAATTATATTATTTACAGTTAAATTTTAACTGATCAATATTTTGTATTTTATTTATTGTATGTACTGTAAGTGTAAAGATTCACTTGCGTGTGAATATTAACATAATTTGTTCTTTTCATATATATTTATTCTAAAAACTTTAGGCCTGTCAGGAGCAAAATTTCACTTCGACGCAAATGGTGATGGCCCAGCTCGTTACAACATAGTTCACTTCAAACAGATCTCACCCGGAAACTACCAATGGGTGACTGTCGGTGAATACATAGAAGGAGAGCTGAGACTAAGCATGAGCGGTAAGAAAGGAAATTTATTCATATCTGACTATAAACTTATGAATTGATGCTTTCACAGAAATCAAGTTCTATACGGGGACACAAGTCCCGCCCGAATCGGTCTGCAGCCTGCCGTGTTCAATTGGTCAGGCGAAGAAATACGTCGAAGGAGAAAGGTGCTGCTGGCATTGTTTCAATTGCAGCCAGTATCAGGTACACTAATATTCAATAAAATTTAAATAAAAGTTCAAACCGTAGAATAATGAAAATATTTGTTGAGGGAGGAAGAGGAACTAAATGAGTATGAGTTCTTACTCATCTAACTAATATGGTAGAAATATGGATTTTATTTATAAATTAAATCAGCTTTTAATAAAGATTCACTGAATAAAAAATATTTGACAGAGTTTGATATCAACTTGACAAAGAACCATGATAATTTTTTTTTTTTAAATGCTTATTTATAGTAATATTTTTTTCTATATTGCCTACAGAGTGATTTTTATATACATTTTTTGGAGCGAAGGGGATCATGAAAGAAAATTTCTGGGGTGATAATGGGAATTGAACTCACAACCTCAAGGTCCAAGCCAAGAGGATTAACCTGATAAATTGAGTGTTTTAAGAAATAATAAATAGTGTTTTAAGATTTGTAATAAACCTATAAAAAACATTATATCAAATAATTAAGGTTTTTAGTTGAGATAAAAAGTCAAAGGCACGAGCGGGATGCAAACCCACGATCTTTGGCTAAATACGCCGCTGCTCTACCACTTGAGTTATCGTGGCCATTTCATTTGTCGCCGAGAATCAAATAAATTACACATTTGAAAAATGGCAAAAAGGAGGGAAAATTCAAAAGGTGTGGTTGAGATGGGAAGTTAGTGTCCGAGTGGATTGAGGTCACAATAGCTCAAGTGGTAGAGTAGTGGCGTATCTAACGAAAGATCGTGGGTTCGAATCCCACTCATGGCATTGACTTTTTTATCTCAACTAAAAACCTTAATTAATTGTAAGATATTAATTGGTCAAGCAGACAACGAAACTAGTGAAATTATATCAAATTATGCTCAGCAATGGTTATCCTTTATAATTGTTTGCAACTATAAGATATTAGTGAAATTAAATAAAAAATAACTTAATTCTGTAAACCTAAAGTCCCCTTGAATAAATATTTATGAATTTATAAAAATTCAGATCTGATAAGGCAATACAAAAATTCATATTTACAAAAGTATATCTATAATTAATATACTCTACAGTGGAAATTAAACTAAAAACATACTTAAAATCTTCTATGCCAAATTTTAAGAACAAGAGGTAATTAAAGGAAAGGGATTAAAGATGGATTGAGTAAGAATGGTATGCATAGTATAGACGCACCGATGAGGAAGAAAAAACTGAACGCGTAGTCAAAAGGGGTAAGTGAGTTTGACAAGAGGACTTAAGGTTAGGAGATATATGTTTTGAGGAAATAGGACAATATCGTCTGACAGAGGAAGGAGGCCAAGGAAGTATTGCAAGAAGTAAAGGATAAATACTTCAAGTCAGTATATAGATCATGAAACATCTCTATGTTTAATCATTAATAAAACATAGGAAATGATTCATTTGATGCTTAAGCTTGTCTTCAAGCCTTCTTCTGTAAAAAAATAGGACAGAATAAGAAAAACCAAGAGTTTACTAAAGTTTAATTTAGTGTATTAAATGAGAAAGGTGGCATCACAAACCTGAAGGAGTAGAAATTATGAATGATGAATGATGAAGTATACTTAGTAGGAACCATCTTTTTTAAAAAGAAGGAGGTATTAATTAAGGCAGAAGTGGGAAATCTGGAAAATATGTATTTCTAGAAAAGGTCTATCTGATCAGGTTCTTGGCAGCGGGAAAAAAAGAAATAGGATTCCTGTTAGTGGCAAATTGAGGTAAGGTTGTAAGGAAATTAAATCCAAAAACAACTACCTGGGAGTTTTCTAGGTTCAATTTAAGCCTAAAGCCCTCCTGAATACTTACAGTTGCAACTTCCAAGTCAGGAGGTAGGACGGAAAGTTAAATATTGAGAAGTATTTTATGAATTTGCTCCCCATCCTTGAGGGACTTGATGTTATGGATCGGGAAAAGGATGGGGGCTTTTTGCTACAAAGACTAGTCAAAAATGGTCAAAAAATGAAAAAGTAAAACCACTGAAGCACACTTTTTCTAAGAAAGATAAGGTTGCTCATTGATCATAAANTGTTGGTTTCTATTAAATTTATCACTCTATTGGGCACTCTCAACACGACACGCAAGGATGGCACAATTACCCAGAAGACAAACACTTTGAGCCCTGAAGATGATCTCAATAAAAGATCGAAACGTTGGCACGATAAAGAAAATGTTTTTCTGAAACCTACATCACACCCGACCGCATCTCATGATATCTGAATAACTATTAAATTTATCCTTTATTTTTACCTTGCATGTTTTGTGAAACATAATTTGTCATTTCTATAACTTTATTACGAATTTGTATTACTGCCCTTCTTTCTGCCCACACACCCACCATAATAATAATTATGAATATAAAATGTGTTTAAATGATTATATAAATTTAAGTATGTTTAAAGAACCTGATGAAATATTTCAGATTTTGGATGCAAATGATGAAACACAATGTCTTTCATGCCCTGGGGGAACTCTGCCTGATGTAAACCAGCAATTCTGCGACCCTTTGCCTGAAGTATTGCCGAATTGTTAACAATTTTTTTTTTTTTTTTTTTTTTGAAACTTGTATATTTTAGGTCTATCTGAGGATTGAAACAGGCTGGGCAATCGGTGCAATCACACTGTCAGTTATTGGAATAATTATTACACTGTTTGTCGTAGTCGTGTTTGCGAGGAATAACAACACGCCCATAGTAAAAGCAGCCGGTAGAGAATTAAGTTACGTGCTATTATCAGGGATCTTGCTCTGTTATTCAATAACTTTTGCCCTCGTTATGAGACCGAGTGACATAGTGTGTGGAATTCAAAGGTAAAGTAAACTGACATATTACAAAATATTTTACACCTAACAATTTGTTCAAGCAGGTTCGGAGCAGGGTTTTGCTTCACTGTTGTGTACGCTGCTTTGCTAACAAAAACAAATCGTATCTCAAGAATTTTTAAAGCAGGAAAACGTACTACAAAAAGGCCGAGTTTTATATCCCCAAGGTCTCAACTAATAATTTGTGGTTTTCTAATAAGCATTCAGGTATTAAATTGAACTATGGGGGAAAATTGTTTTGCAATATTATTTTTTTTTTTTAATAGATTATAGTGAATATTCTATTAATGATTGTTTCTCCGCCAAAAGCAATTTATTATTATCCAACAAGGGAAGATAATCTTCTTGTGTGCTCTTCTTACATCGACGCTTCATACATGGTTGCGTTCGCATACCCAATTTTGTTAATACTTGTCTGTACAGTTTATGCAGTCTTGACACGAAATATACCAGAAGCATTCAACGAATCTAAACATATTGGTATGCCAATTGATTTTTTTTTTTTAAGCAGTTTAATTTATATGAATTTCTGATTTAGGGTTTACAATGTACACGACATGTATTATCTGGCTGGCGTTTGTTCCTTTATATTTTGTTACTGGAAATCACATGCCTCTTCGCATTACTAGCATGTCTGTTACGATAAGTTTGTCTGCAAGTGTAACAGTCATTTGTCTATTTTCTCCAAAGGTGATAATTTTTAATAAATAAATGAAGGGTCCTTGCTAACTCAATTTTTTTTCCTTTTAGCTTTATATAATTTTGGTAAAACCAGAAAGAAATGTCCGCCAAAGCATGATGCAGTCTAAAAGGAGCGCGTTGAAAACAGGAACTACTGCTAGTGTCATGGTCGGGACACTTCCTATTGCTCATCCACTTGGTAATTTTATTTCATTTTACTTATTGATTTCCCAAATTGACTAAAACGTACGTCTTTTAGTTACTTCCGAATCATTATTGAAATTTCAACAAGGCACAGGTCTGCCTGAGATCAAAACACTATCCGGCCATATTTCCAAATTCACCCAGACGTCGCCAAAGCATAATTCAGACGGGTTCATCAAACACGAACAGAGCAACTGTCACACGACATAGCAGAAAAAAGTCATTAAAAAGCTCAGAGCTTACCGCAACTCGAAAAGAAGGCCAGTTGTAGTATAGGAATTGTTTATAATTGATTTTGAATTGTGTAATGTAAAATAAAATAAATATTTAAGGGCAGAAGCCTATAAACGACAATCTGATTCCCCTCAGCGTTATTGAAAGCTCAATTCAATAGTTTTAATAGTGCTTGTTTTACTCTCGATATGTTATAACTATTTATAAATGATGGTTTGACCACCCCTAACTTTGTTAACACTCATTTTTAAATTATTACAAGAATTTTAAGTAAATAATTTTAGTTTTAATTGAAAAAGACTGTTTAATTATAATGTTAATGTTTGTGATTATGATAAATTATTTCCATTTTATTAAAAGACATTTTATAATACTCTTATGAATATAAATTTAAAGCTTTTTTTTATTTTTAATAATAACCTGTGTTCATAACCAATAAAAAAATTATTTAAAATAAAATCTTTACAGAACTTAGGTTATTACATTTGTTAATTAAAAATAAAATATAAGTTGCTATCATGTTTACATTACTATAAATTTTATTATGTGTGTTACAAATAATTAAATTATGAACTGTATATGTATATATTTTAGAAGAAAAAGCTATAAATAATTTGTATTATGGTTTATCAATGTACTTCCAATTTATTTTGTTAATTATGAAATAAGGTTTGTGTTATTTTCTGTGAGTATTTTTAATAACAAAGCACTCGTAATTTTATTGCATTTCAACCGGCGAATCATCACACTTTCTAATCAGTTAATAAGAATTATGTACATTAAACATTTGAATACTGATGTGTTTTGCAGTACAAAATTATTGAATCCTGAAAGAAATAAAACATTTTTGCCCAAATTAGTCTTTTTTTGCCCGTTTTTTTCTATCGATCAGAGTTTATAAAATATTTATGTATATCTGACAATTAATTAAGGTTTTTAATTGAGATAAAAAAGTCAGTGTCATGAGCGGGATTTGAACCCACGACCTTCGGCTTGATACGCCGCTACTCTACCACTTGAGTTATCGTGACTTCGATCCACTCAGACACTTCCCACCTCTACACCACCTTTTGAATTTTCCCTCCTTTTTGCCATTTTTCAAATGTCGTGTAATCTATTTGATTCTCGGCAACAAATGAAATAGCCACGGAGAGCTTTAGTGAAGATATAATTCATTTAACTTATTAAATTCACTAGTTCCGTGGTCCGCTTGACCAATTAATATCTTACAATTAATTAAGGAGGGGAAGTTATTGTCCGAGTGGATCAAGGTCATGATAGTTCAAGCGGTAGAGCAGCAGCGCATCTAGCCGAAGATCGTGGGTTCCAATCCTGCTCATGCCAATGACTTTTTTATCTCAACTTTAATTAACCGCGTCTCACGATCTCTAAATAAATTTAAAAAAAAATTAAAAAATGCAATTATTATTGTTCCTTCGAAAACCTACCAGCGGTCTCACCTGAAGGAAAGATTGTTGGGAGGTATTTTTATACCATTTATTTGAAGTCCCTTAGATATATAAATTCGATTAAGTTAAAGCGTTTGTCCGCCGGTACAGGGTCTTCCTCAGGTGTGGCGGGGTGGTGGAAAGGGTAAAAAAAAAAGATCTACTTAGGAAGAATGGAGTTTGGTTATATTAAATTTTTTTAAGAAATGCGGGATGTAATATATCTTGCATGCAAAATTGAATCCATCATTAAATTGGCTTATCATGAGAATTCTAAGTTCACAGATATACATAAATTCACTAGTTTCATGGTCCGCTTTGCCACATCCAAAATGTAATTGTAATATGTAAACAATGTTCATAAATCCCAGGCCCTGAAGATGATCTCAATAAAGATTGAAACGGCACGATAAAGAAAATGTTTTTCTGGAACCTACATCACACCAGACCGCATCTCACAATCTCTAAATAAATATCGATTAACGGTCACTAATCACCACACAATAATTGCATTTTGAAACTTAAAACAAAAGGTCTTCTATTGCTGGCTTCTCCTTGCACATTTACATTTTCTTGTTTTTCTTTTCTATATATTTACATTATGTAAAATTTTCTTACTAAGAAGAGGAAAATATCCCGGAACCCCAAACCTAAACCTATGTTTAATTACGCAATAAATAAACAAATAATGGTAATAAAACTCTAAGAATAACAACAATATTTAGGACTTAGCAATCAGAATAAATAGGGACTTGTTCATTTAAGCGTAGTTGAGGCAAAGTCTTTTAGATTCAGTTGTACAAATTTTGTTCACAAAAAAGACTTTTTTAGTGGAAGAGATGATCGAGACACAACTGCTCTCAAGAACAAAGAAATTCAATCATGTTCTTTTTTCTTTAGAATTTATTAGATATTATTTAGAATATTTTAGATATTTAGATATTTTTTAGATATTTAGATATTAGGGTTACTTCTAATATTTAAAGAAAAAATAATTAAAAACCCTGGCGAAACAATTCATCTAATATTTGGACATACCATTCTTAGACCTCTGAAACTATTAAAAGAAAAAAAAATTGTCAGCACATGAAAAGTCTGCCAATCTTGCACAAAATAATTTAGATATTGGAGAAAAGATAGACCAAACGCTTAAAATATAACATGAAAATCCTTAATTGAGACACTATGCAAAAGTCATGTCATTTCTCGTGCAATCCTAACTACTATATGGAAATTTTGAACTTCAATTTGTTTTGTGCAAAAGTGGTTTGAGTCTGGTACCCATAGTTATCCCTAGATAGCAGTGAAAGTGTATCGGTAAAAAATGAAAAGACAAGTGTTTTGTGCAAAAGTGGTTTGAGTCTGGTACCCATAGTTATCCCTAGATAGCAGTGAAAAAAAGACAAGCGTTTTGTGCCAAAGAGGCATAAGTCAAGTTATATTCAACAAAATTCATACTTAATCGGTCCATTACGTATGATGTAGTGTCATCATGATGGAAGTAACAGAGAAAAATCCTACACAAATAAAAAAAATGTTTAATACTAGAGGGACAATAAGCAATATTTTTTACAAACATACCAAATTTCATATGGCAGAATGTTCAGAGCATTGAAAAAAGAAAGAAAGAAGGATTTGCTGAACAAGACAAATGGGGAAAAGCTCCACTGGAAATAAAACAGACGATAGCAGAATTTTCAAAGTGAAAAGCCATTTCTGAAGTTTTCCAAGTTACACAAGTTGAATATAGAACCCAAAACCCAAACGTGTTCGCCCCTCCACCATTACACCTGATGATTAGTCAAACGTTAAGCCCTGTATGATGTTAATTCAAAATGTTTAAACATACTAACAAAATTTAACACAATGGGCAAAATATTTTCAAAATATAAAAAGAAAATGAATGAAAGAAAAACTTGAAATTTTTAGCTATATTTGTTGTGTTTTCACGAGAAAGAACCTGGATTTTGTATCAATAATAATGCTTAAATTCTTGACAATAATTATCAATTACATTCACTATTTTTCGTAGACCGCTTGACCAATTAATATCATTCAATTAATTAATGTTTTAAGTTGAGATAAAAAAGTCAGTGTCACGAGTGGGATTCGAACCCACGACCTTCGGCTTGATATGCCACTACTTTACCACTTGCGTATCAAGCCGAAGGTCGTGGGTTTGAATCCCGCTCATGACACTGACTTTTTATCTCAACTTAAAACCTTAATTAATCGAATTATCAATTACAATAAAAACCACAGTGCAATGATTAGATCATCATACCTGGTGACTAGTGACTGCATTTTTATTTGTTTCTTCCAGTTACAGTAGACTTCCTGACAGTTGGCACTTGAAATAAAAAATAAAAAATTTTGACTGCACATTTTTTGGTTTTATTCTGTTTTGTGAAACCACGACAACCAAGTATAATTTCATTTAAATTTTCATAGTACATTCCATATGTTTAAATTTCAAATTGTTCTCATCCTTGATTTTTAATATAAAAGTATAATAACTAAAAGTTTAAAAGCAATATTAGAGGCTGATTAATAATATTGAATACAAATTCAAAATGATGACTATAAATCATCTCAAAAATGTTTGTGTTCAGATGGATTTAAGAATTTTAGAACAAATAGAAATATTTTCAATAGTACAAGAACTTATGAAATAATAGTAATCAATGTAAACTAGAAGAAGAAAATATTTTTCAACACACCTTTAAACTTAAAACAAACAAATATTCTAATTTAGAAAAAAATAATAATAATGTACGATATTTCACTTGGAGGATTTTATAAATTTTATATCATCTCTGGATTGAAATGTTAAGGCATGTTTCGACTTCTTGCCATTTTTAGTAGTGGTAAGAATGATTATTAAGGTGAGTACACACTAAGCAAATCTTGGTCAACAAAAGACATCTAATACATCGGGCTGAACATTGGTTCCCAACACATTGGCCATTCTTGGATCATCCTCATCAAACCAAGGGGTTAGGGTCAAGGGGCCCCAAACTGCGGCCATTTGGTCAACCCTTTTGATGTTACTGCCAGAAGTCTGAACCTTGGCCAAGGCCAACCACTTCATTGGGTCTGATTCGCCTCCTGTACACACCAGGCAAATTACAGCCAATCAAGCGATTGGTTGTCTACCTAACCAAAAATTCACACAGACCCAACACTGAAGATGACAAAATGCTCAAACTCATTTGAGAAACCAACCCAGTGACTCTAGGCAGACCAAAATGTTCAATAAATAAAAAGAGGAAATCTGACATCACAGATCAAAAAATTCTCCAAGTTCTTTTTTTTTTGTTATACTAATTTATTTTTATTTTGTACACACATTTTACAAATTTGTGCTTTAATTTTCACCTTGTCTCATCACTGGCAGTACGCTCGGCAATGCCCTGGAGAAAACAAATCTTGAGAAGTCATTCTCAACTGAATACTTTTGCTGCTGAGGGATTAGAGGGCGAGTAGGTCTCTGGTCAAATGTTATGCAGAGGATTAAGTAGAGAGGGCCTAAACGGAAAGGTCAGGATGAAATAAAAGATAGTGGGAATAAAGCAAGCCTTTAACAAAGGAAATATTGAGGTTAGAGACATATCAGGGAGCTTGGAGAATTCTTTTGAAGCCTTTGGTTGAAATGCTGGGATGTGTTCGCAGTACCCTACATTTCTGCACTGATGAAGTAATGTTTTGTTCAATGTTTGTTTGGTCTTATTTTGGTTTAAGCAGTCTGCTTAGTTGTTCAAGTCTTGTGTGGGAATTACACATCAGTCTGTTGTCTAGGTCAGTCTTAAATATTTCCACAGTATGATATCAGTAATTCCTTGTTGTTGGCAAGGGGGTAAATCTGTGTTTTAAATATAAAAGTGATTCGAGTGCAATTTCATCTTCTGTTCTTTGCTCTAAGAAATGTGTCCAAACAATACGGTTAAAAAAATTACAAGTATACTTCATTGATTTTGATTTTCAAGTACTCCATGGCTTGAGATGTGCAGTTGATCCAAAGTTACAATTGTTAAAGTTACAAATTAATTTTCTGTGGGGAAAATCATGCCGGAAAAACATACAAAAACTAACCTCTTTTAAGTGTATGTGGGCAACTAGTCTTTACAGTCCAATATATCTGGCAATCTGGCACTGTTAAAGATTAAAAAAAAGCATTAACAGCAAAAGACTTAAATTTAATCTGCTTGAAGTGGACTCAGAATTTTCTGTTTTATCAAATTGTTAAACAAAACTTCATTATGACCCTTACAAATTAAGCTATCAATTTAATAATCTCTAAAATCATTATTTTTATAAAGTTTTTTAGTATTACACTAAAGCCCCATTATCTGGAGTTCAATTATCCAGGAATTCAATATCTGGGCCCCAGGTATCTTCATATACATATGCTACATTCATCACAGCCATCTGTGGACATTTTTCGTTTTGACTTTGTGGAAATTTTTAAGAATTTTTGAAAAAAAAATCAATTTTTTTTTCATTAGATACATTAATAAATGTACTATGTGTACATATGCCTTCTTAATATATGTTTTAATTAATTCATTAAAAAATAAATTCCATTATCTGGGGTTTTTGATTGTCAGTGGAACACAATATTTGTATGATATTATTTAATCCATTTATGTTTATTGGTGTAATTGAGAAAATTACTTATTTCAATTAGTTTTCTTTTTTATGTAACATTTTGGTCTAAATGAAAAAGTTATGTCAACCAAGGCCTTACATAAAAAGGATAATTAATTGAAATATTTAATATTTATAAAGTACTCACTTCTACAGAGTCTTATAACTAATATGTCATAATAATTGTTGTAACAATATTATTAACATCGACATAATAGGAATCTACTTAAATTATTCCCATGTGGAAAAATCCAATATCAAGGAGATTTGAGACAAAATATTAAAAGAAGAAATTAAAAACACATTTAAAAACGTTGAAAAAATAATTATTAATGAACAAACCTCTTCCTTTGTTCTTTAAAATTCTACAATGGAGTTCGAGATCTCTTAAAAAACACAAAGCAAGTCTTAGAAATTTTTCTACTTAAAAACCAACTATTCAGATAATAAAATTTTTCAATGAATTTCTAGATCTCTTAAAAACAAAAAGCAGGTCTTAGAAATTTATTTACTTACAAACTAACCAATCATTATGATTGGTTGGAGATAAGATTTTTACAACGGTTATCTATATAACCTAATAAAAAGCAGGCCTTAGAAATTTATCTACTTACAAACTAACCATTAAGGTAATAAAAATTTTACAATGGTTATCTATATCTTGTAATAAAAAGCAAGTCTTAGAAATGTATCTGCTTAAAAAACAACCATTCAGATAATAAAATTTTACAATGGATTTCTAAATCTCTTAACAAAAAGGAGGCCTTAGAAATATTCTTAAAAAATAACCATTCAGGTATTAACAAGTCTACAATGGATTTCTAGATCTTTTAAAAACAAAAAGCAGGCCTTAGAAATTTATCTACTTAAAAACTAACCATTCAGGTAATAAATTTTAATAATTTTTTTTAAATTTTTCTGTAAAAAAATTTTGCAGTGTATTTCTAGATCTCTTAAAAACAATAAGCAGATCTTAAAAACTTATTTACTTACAAACTAACCAATCAGATAATAAAATTTTTACAATGGTTATCTATATCTCGTAATAAAAAGCAGGTCTTAGAAATGTATCTGCTNTCCTTGAGATAGAGAATAGCCATTTCTATTCTGCTGGTTTGATTGCCTTAACAAACCCTATTGATTGCCTGTGTCCGGGGGATTAATTCCACTCCCTAAGGAATTGTTTCATGCCCTAGCTATTGATACTCTCCTTCACTGTGCTCAAAGAGTGAGGTAATACTGGTTGTGTCCCGACAAACGTAGTATTAGAACATTCTTTGGCCAGGCCATCCGCCTTTTCATTGCCATAGTTTCCTTTATGTGTCATCATCCAGACTATAATCATAATCACAAGGGGTGACTACCTGAAAGTGCTTTTTCCCGGAAGGGGTTTTAATCTTTTTATCACTAACGCTTAATAATTGGCCGATAACCATACTCAATAGTTGTGAGACTTTCGAATAACTTATGCTATTGCACTTATGATTCCAGCTGCCCTCACTAATTAATCTGTAGCAGCTGATTAGTGCTCTGACCTTAACCTCAATATGAAGGGGTGTGGTATAGGTTATGATTTCAAGAGCTAGGGTGGGTGCAGTTGAAAATGCTCCTATCATCAAACAACCTAGTCTTTGAAATTACTTTAATTTATTACTATTACCTTTATTTTCTATACCTTTCCACCACACTAAAGCTGCGAAAAAGAATCTAGGTAGAATAATTGCAGTATATAGCCATTTGGCTACCCATGGTTTGATGCCCCATGTTTTACTGACAATTCTCCTACATTGTACCATTGATATAGTGCCTTTCCTGTATATTAATATGACCTTTCCAATCAAGTATCCTGTCAAATTACCTAATGTTCTTCTCCTGCTAAACATTATCAATCCTAGTTTAGCAGGATTAATTGATAAACCTAAAAGCAGGCCTTAGAAATTTATCTACATAAAAACTGACCATTCGGGTATTAAATATTCTACAATGGATTTCAAAACCGCATGACAAAAAGCAGATCTTAAAAACTTATCTGCTTAAAAAATAACCATTCAGATGTAATATTCTGGAGAAGGTGGAAAAATCCAGAAATCCATCTGACAGACCAACGACCAAAAGATCGGTAATGACCAAATTTATTGTTCTGTCGATTAGTTCAAAATTTTGAAATTTAATTTATTATTACCCGTTTATTTAAAAATTAAAATTGGTGATTAATTTGAACAATCAAATTATCGACTTAGGAGAGACGAATAAGAGAAACGAAAAATGTTTCGCTATATCTGGTGCGCTTTGATGAGAAAGAACCCAAATTTAATCATCAATAAAAATTTTGCAAGAAGCTTCTTGCATTAATTTGCCTTAACTCTATTTTTTTCTTTATTTGCTACATAACTATTGCATTTTTTACATATTGATCAACTCTTAGACAAAACCTAGCTTAATTTTATGAGCTACTTCTCACAACAATTAGTCTTACGTCCTGTTATTATACATGACTTAAAGTTTCAAGCTTTACACAGACTTAAAATGTCCACCTTTATTAGAAATTTCAAATAATTCTAAAGTGACAAAAAAGATATTTCAGTTTTGACCTAAACACGACTTTTCAAATCAAAATAATAAAACTGATATCTTTTGATAAGAAAGAACTCAAGTATTTTGTATAGTGGAGTGTAAATGATCGATAATAAATATAAAATACAAAAAATCATAAAAATTAATTGTACAAGATTTTTATCAGATC